AACGCCCGCTTGTTTGTCGTTGTTCGTTTTGTACCTCGCGCGCGGCGTGACCACTCCGTCGTTGCTGATTACGCAACGCGTGGCCATGAGAGCGCCTCGCGTTCGCGAGAATGCAGCCACACGCGCGCGTGCTCACTCGTATCGTCGCGCAGGATTGGCGGGATTATCGATATCTCGCGATGTGTTTACAACAACAAATCAGAATGCGCAAGCTTCTAAACGTCCAGGCTCCCAGTCTCGGCTATCATCGAATTTAATAGTGCTGCTGATTCCGTAACTCGATATGAAAATAATTATTACGTGCGGCATCGAATTTTTAGCTTATTCGTTACGTAGACGCGTTACGTAACGTCTCCTTCAGCCGTCTTGTTGCTATACGAACTTTTTTTTTTTTTTTTTTACCGTCAGTGTTTACCCGGAATGATATAGATAGGGTTGCAAGACGTAACAACTCGCCGGGACTAGTTGAGAATCGCTGATCTAACGCGACGTGCAGGTTCACTATGCGCGCGTGCATGCGCACGCGTGTAGGCGTGTATGGCGCGCCATGACTTGTAGGATGAGTATGCAAAGGCGTATGTCTCGTCTAGAAATTAATGTACAACCAATATTAGGCGGCGCGAACAGACCGTTTCGTCATGTGATATATAATAAATGAGTATACAGGTGTCGATAATAAGAAATATGAGAAAACGAAGAAGGATGAAAATGTGGAGAGATAGAATTGATAATTATTAACATTATTAGATCTGATAGTTAATATCATTTTCACTCGAAATACTTTTGCGAAATACTTAACCTTTTTTATTATTTAATTTTTTTTTTATTATTTAATCAAGCTCACGGAAAGTGGATTAATTGAGCAGCAGCCGTGAGATTGCAGCATGTAAGCAGTAATATGTCTATTATAGTGTGATTTTTATTTAAAGTCATTTCAACACGCGAACTGAAGAGATATTTCATTAAGCCTATCGTGATTGAATTACAAACGCGCCAGGAAGATAATAATTTTGAAATTAATAATTTATAAATATATATTCTACAAGATTATATAGTAATTTTATTTTTAGTCTAATTAACCTTGTACAATAAATATTTTGTTTTATAATCCCTATCTGCAATTATAATGTTTGTGCTGGCTCGGATGAAGCAATATCGAATTAATCTCGCGGCGTCATCGAATTCATATACTTTGGGTCTTCTTTGCACACATACACATACACACACACACACACACACACACACGCACACGCACGCACGCACGCACGCACACACTCGCGCGCGCGTGTTCCTGTAGCCGTAAAAAAGAAAAAAATTAAGGAAAGAGCAGAACAGAAAAGAAGAGGAGAGAGAAACCGGCAGAATATCACGCGAATATCGGAGCGACTAAGTAAACATGAGAGCGAAAGAGCATCCGACATTGGGTGCCGGTTTTTATTCGTGCGTTTTGCGTTTCGGAGAACGCAGTTGTGTACACTGTCATGGTCTTCATTTACGTCTGCCGACGAGTCTTTCCTTCGTCAGGTACCTTCTTCTCGCGAAAATCGAGACACCGATACTCCAACAGTGCCGGTTGCGATAAAAGAGATAATCATGTTTTTTTCGCGAAGAGTGTATATCTGATCGGTATATCTTAAACATTTAATTCACACATGATGTCGATATTTTAGGAAACACCACGGTTTAATGTGCCTACCGTTTATAATATTGATAATTAAAATGCACAATAATAAGTTCATTTAAGATGGTCTCAAAGAGATTTGTATTCTAGAGATAGGTACTCTATAAGAGAGTAGAGTTTGTCCACGAGATGACAAACTTTTGATTAGCTCGTCATTTTTGTCAATTTTACCTTATTAAATATGAAAGGAGCAATAATAAATCTTTTAAGTTAAATAAAATTTTATTTTTAATGTCAAAATGTAAATCAATTTATTTTTGTGGTTAATTTTAAAGTAAATCATATCTATATTAATATATGCATTTAGTAAATAATAAATTAAATTGGAATCAAATTTCATATTTTCTTGAGTAAAATTGTTTTAACTTCATTGTTTTAGTTATCAAATTAACGACGTGTTGAGTAGGAACAGTGGCAATATCTATAGAAATAATTATAAGTAACTCAAATTGTATAGTGTAAATTCAAATGAGTAAGAAGATAATACAAATTAGAATGAGATAGCATATGTAAAAAGAGACATTATACTCTTCTTTCTTTCTCTCTGTTTTGACAAAATTACTCATGGCTAGACTCTATAATAGAGTCTTAATAGTTTTTAGATAAAGTCATAGTTCGATTTTGTAACGTAGAATTTGAGCATGGAATTTAGTTATGTTAACTCCGAGGTTCATTCATTGATCGATGCTCACGGGGTTTATTTCTGTCTCTATATTTCCCTGACAAAGCCAGGTTTCGGATAACACGAAAGTCAATTAATCGCACGAATGGACAATGCAGAAATAACGGAGAAAATAGCTCTAGTCTCGTGGATAATTTGGATGGTAGAAATTTCAGAAATCAATTCCAACAATTATAAAACAAGAGTGATAATAATTTTAATAAGCGTAATAATTTTTCTAATAAACTGTATTAATGTTATTACAAAATGTTTCAACAATATTTAAAAGAAAAATTGAGAGATTGTCTCGATCTGTTAAATATCACGAGCAGAATTTTTTATCGCGAGATCCGCATATTGTATGCTCTGCATTAATTACATGCACTGCGTTTCTTTCTAAAATCATCACTGCGTGCAGGTGTTTTAGAATTAATTCGATATTGAGAATTCCCCGGCTGTTTATATCCTCTGTTGCCAGATTTGTAGATGATGCGTGATTCGCAAGGACGATGCGATCGTTACGCGTTTGGCCGCGTAATCCGATCTCGCCGCGGATGTTTCCCGTTTTTGCGAGTTAATTGATATCCCTTGGTAGATACCGTAATATAATTCGACGCCGTTCCCCCGGGTAGAGTCGCCAATCGTTAAAGATCGATCTCTCGTCTCATTCTCTCTCGGTCGCTGCACCGCCTCTCTCGTCTCGCCATGGTGTCGACTGCCATTCACCGTGAAAACCGTACGTACACTTGCGCTCTGGTCACCAACAAGGTCGCACAAGGTCGCACAACCATCCTGCATCCATACGCCATATGCAGCGGTATGCATGCGTGCATGCGTGCATACGTGCATACGTGCATACGTGCATACGTGCGATGCAGGTGGACGATATCGGCACACAGGTCGATCTCTGAGGAAATAGGAATCTGAAATTGCATTAACATTACAACGAATATATACGATTCTCAGATCCGATTTCACCAATATAAAATTAACTGTAATCTCGATTCAATTTACTCTTTATCTTTTTCTAATTCTGAGAATTATTCCCGTTTCTACCAATGTAAATTAACTCAATTCAACCTATATACTCATCTTTTTTTTTAATTCTTAAATCTAGAAAAAGATGGACAGTAATGTAGTTAAATTTTAATCGAGAGTAAAATTAAACTACGTTAGTTGAAAACGGATTTAGTTGAAAACGGAAGAAGATAAATAATAAATTAAACCGTTAATTAAAGTTAATTTTACATTGATGGAATCGGGATTTCGGTTGTGTATCTCTCTTGGAATTAAATATTTATTTCTGATTTGTCGAATAATTAAATTTATTATTGAATTCTTCATTTATTCTTTCTCGCCACTTCGCTTCATCAAAAAATCAGGAAGATCTTGTCAATTTATCTCCGTGTTTCGCACGATGCAGCCATCTACATACACGTAGCGTGATTTGCGCGCGAAAGTACTAGCGGGGTCTCGGTATCGATCCGAATGCGTAGAAAATGTTATTGATTCCCTCGGCCGACCTGACGACCTCTTCTCTCCATGGCGACGATCCGACTGGAGAGACCGTGGCTTTTCTCCATCCCCTTTTGATCATTTTTCATCTCGCTGTATATTACAGTACATGAATTGCTATGATATACCTAAATACAGTATACAAAATTTTAAATCTCGTACAAATAATAAATTTATTATACAAATAAAATTGTGTTAAAATGAAACAAAAAATAAATTATTAAGATATCTATAAAAAATACAAAAATGTATTTAAAAGAATTACAATGTCTAACAAGTAATACGTGTAATTATCGAATACTAATATCATGATATTAATTAATTATGATTTAATAAAAAAAACAAAAAATATTGGAAGTGAAGAAATTGAAAATTAAACTTTTAATGGAAACGGAGGAGAATATTTTTCACACATCTTCATTTAATTTCAATAGATCGTCTCTCACCTCTCATTTAGAAATAAAATGTCACGTACATGATGACCGCAATTGGAAGGGGTGAGAGGAGAGAATTACATAAAAGGCACACAAGCCTATGACTTCGCCTATTCGTTTTCTGCCTACGCCCTCCAGGGTCATACATCCCACGTTTATCCTCCATCGTATTTCTATCTTTTCTTTAAAGTCGTTTTTGTGGCTTTGAACACTTGGAGTATGCAGAGCACTCAAAACACCTGTTACAATGATTTACTCATCAAAAATATTCAATACTCTAATTCGAAGTTATAATAATTATTTTATAACGTTTGTCAACAATAAAGTATTAATAACATTGGCATATTATAAAATTTTCAATATATCGCACGAACTTAAAAAATGCGAGTTTAATTTGCTGGAAAAAAAATTATAGTCGAGCAAAATTCGGTTAAAATTTAAGACAATCAGATTTAACTATGACATCTCCTTCACGTTACTATCATTCTGTGACAGATCACGAGTAAGACGGGCACGATAATTCTTGGCCGATGAGGAGCAGAGCAGCACGAGGGCGAGTAGTAGAAGGAGCAGCAACACGAGCAAGAGCGAGTGGCTTCGTCGTCGTAGAAGGTGGTGGCGGTGTGGAGAAACAGAAGAAGGAACGAGGACGAAGTGGCGGCGGCAACAGTGGCAGTGGCAACGGCGGCAAAGCGGCGACGAACAGCCAGGTCCCCCCATGTTAGCGGATATCAACGGCAACCTGGCGGATCTGAGAAGCGAAGCGATGGCGTCGCAGAGATTTTGTCTGCGTTGGAACAACCACCAGAGCAATCTGCTCTCCGTCTTCGACCAGCTGTTGCACGACGAAGCATTCGTCGATGTCACGCTGGCCGTTGAGGGCCAGCTACTCAGGGCACATAAGATGGTGCTGTCGGCGTGTAGCCCCTACTTTCAGGTAAACTCTTTTGACATCTATAATTTATTAGATTAACATTCAAAACTTTAAATAAATGAATCGTAGCAAGTAATTTTCATGTTATAATAAACAAATAATGTTTTAAATTGATTTTATGATGGATTCTATCATAATTAGAAATCTGTTGACATTGACATGTTTAGAGAAATAGATTATAATTGCTACGTACAACTTGTTATTTACTAAAATATAAAGATTAAAATTTTAAACTGATAAGATATATACATATATATAAATTATATTTACAGGCCCTGTTCGTTGGACACCCTGACAAGCACCCGATAGTCATTCTCAAGGATGTTCCATATGTGGACATGCGTAGCCTCTTGGATTTCATGTATCGTGGTGAAGTGAGCGTCGATCAAGATCGACTGACCGCTTTCCTGCGAGTCGCCGAGTCCTTGAGGATAAAGGGCCTGACCGAAGTAAATGAGGACAAGTGTGATTTGCCAAGTATAACGTCCTCGCTGTTGGGCGGCAGCCAGAACGCGGTGGCACCGCCGCCGCCCAGTCTTCATCGGATCAACCAAATCGGTCCGCATCATCATCATCATGTCGCGCAGAAGAGGTTCCATCATATGTCCAGTCATCCGTTGCTTGGTTCGGCGCTGACAGCGCCTAAGAGAAAACGTGGTAGACCCAGGAAGTTGAGTGGTTCGTCGGATACGCCAATCGGTGAAATCGGCGGTCAGGACCTGCAATCCTGCTCTGGCGCTGATCTAGTCCAGGGCTCGCCCGAGATGATGGAAATGAAAATGGGATTGGACTTTCAGAGCGAGGTTAGCGGTAACGGCAGCGTGAGAAACACCAGTGCCTCCTCTTCCAACAACGTTGGCGCCAATTCTGCGACAGCCACTAATAATCCCGCTGCCGCCGCCTCTTCGGGATCATCATCGACGAGGAGAGACGAGCCTACGGAGAATGGTACTGATACACCGGAACCAGTCACGCGGGTCAAACGAGAACCAGAACCGACGCCCAGCACCTCGGCGCAAGGTATAAAATGCATTACTATGTCCTATATAATATAGAATTAAAATTTTTAAACTTTAATTTAATCGTTTCGTTGTTGTTGATTCTAGCCTCGGATGAGACATTCGCGCGGCCGCACAGTAGGCAAGGGAGTGAGGGTTTCAAGCAAGGTAAGATCTTCAGTTCACTTAACTTCAATATAAAGAAGCCTTGCATTGCTAATATTCCCTAATATATATATATATATAGCGCAAACAATGAATTTCACGCGATTCACGTGATTTACCTGAGTATCCCTCAGATATCGTAGCGTATCTTATCTATCCAACGGAGAGCTGCGCGCGTTTGCAAATTGTAATTAATTACATGATCGATTGTATAACTGTTTGTGCATAATTTATATCGTCAATTATGCAGACATAAATGTGTACTTAGTAAAATATTAACTCCTTCAGATTTTATCATTCTATACGTGATAAACTTACAACTGTTTTTTTTTTGTATCTATTGACAGACTAAAATTAAAGAAAGGAAATTTTTTAATTAAATCTTACATATAGATCTGTAGGAGTTAATTTTTTTTATTTTTACCCTTCAGCCAAGCGTATTGTTGCATAGAAAATATTTCTTATATTCCTATGATTCTAATTACTGATTTTGAAGATGCATTCTGAAAATTATTAATTACAAGGTAAGTCACAAGATCACTGAATGCAACATGCGTCTAAGGGTTTAATCACAGTCACAGTTTTAGTAAAATCGCGCAGTTTTATAGATGCAAAAGATAATAAATTCGCGCGTCTAATCACAGAACGATGCCCCACCAGATATCTTAGCATGGTGTGAAATGTGATTCCCATAACGCGAACGCGGAGAAGAATGTTAGATTATCTTTTAACATTTTTTTTAATCTAATAGTTAAAAGAAAAATATAATATAATTACTACTACGTTTAAAAATAATAATTGTGAAATTATGATTTGAATTGAACGTATTAATTCTGAATAACGTTAAGTTGTTATCGAATATTCTTCTCCGTGTGAACCCAAAGGACAGGGAAAGAACTCGCTTTTGTGCCGTCCGAATGCTTATTCGTTTCTTGTGAACGCGCCCCGAGGAGCAAGCAAGCAAGCGAACCTTTGCGCGGCATTATGGACGACGCTGTAGACTCTCTACGTGAGAACGACTCTTACGGCTCTCTCGCATGATTCGTCGAGGTCGATCGACGACTGAGAATCTCAGAACCAGAAGCCCGATCCCGAGGGCTCGATATCACAATTAACTTGCACCACAAATCTCGAGATTTCGCGTCACACTTCGCGCGGATCCACCTTTAATCACGCGCGTCGTCACCGTCGTGGACGACGCTTTTATCCTAATGTACTGCTAATGAATTTGACTTTTCAGACATCTCTCGAGCTGCCTTGCCGAGCGGCTCGGCCAGTCGTTGTCGCACTCCTGCAAGCGCGCTCCTTCCGCTTTTTTTTTCTTTTAGGAGCTAGCCAGGACTCTCGCGACCCTCGCGACGTAGCGAATCGCGCGCGCAGATCATTTCCGTCAAAACCGTCGATCCCGAAATCTCACGTTTACTTCTTGACCATTTTCGAAACAAAACACACACGAAGAGAAAAAGTAAGAGGTAGAAGAAAACAATTCTAACGCGAGAGAAAAATCTGCATTCGAAAGAATTTGAAAGAAAAAGACAGTAAAAATAATTTCCCTTTCCGAAGCGCGAACGGTGTGTCTAAAGAGGGTAGTCGCATGAGGGATGTTATATATCCCTTCGCGCGCGTGGTATTCAAATCGCGAGAAGAGACGAAATCGAGACGAAAAAAAGGATGCAAGAATAGACGAAAATATACATATATGTATATAGAAAGAGAGAAAGGGAGAGAAAGAGAGTGTGTGAAAGAGAGGGAGAGAGATATTAAACGGAAAGTCATCGTCTCGCTAATCAAGAATTCGCATTCGGAACTAGGAATGTTGTTACCATGACACCCCGCGAAAAAACCCCCGGAAAGGGAACTCCCCTCTGTGCGAGCGTCTGCGAAATTAATTAATCTCTAATGAAACCCATTGCACTCGCGCCGCCGAGTACATTGTTCTCGTCGACGACATAATATAGATATATTTAGAAATACATACATATATATATATATATAATACCCATACGTAATTCTCACGCTCGGCCAATGCGCAGCGCCTCATTCCTGTCTTCCCTTCCGCCCTTCGTTCTCGGTAGCACAAAATCAGCCACCTCCTTGTTCTTGCCTCTTCATGATCAATCTGTATTTTCTGTCTGCCGCACCGCACCTGTCGCTCTGTTCGATGTCTCGAACCTCTCTAGACCTAAAGTTCTCCACTAACATCCCCATATCGCGTTCACCCGATGCTCTCTTCTCCGCACGATTGAAAAAAAAAACGCTTCGCTGCCATTGGCCAAATGGTAACAGGAGGGGGTGGAGCCAGCTTTTAGCGGTGCTTACTTTTTTTTATTGTTGTCTGATTTTTCACACCTTGAACGCTGGTTAACTTCTTTTACGCTCGTTCGTTGCGAGGAAGATAGAATAGTTTCACTGTTTTTTTTTTTGTTTTTTTTTCTTTTTTTATCGCGAAAAGACAAACGGCAAAGAGGAAGAGAGAGGAGAGACGTAAACGCGTCGATGATGATTACGATGATGATAATGATGATGAGTGTTATACAACGGACGATGCATTGTCGGCAGGTTTATCGTTTCCGTCTTCTCTTGCGTTCTTCTTGTTGCTTTAGACGATAACGACGACAATAAGGAAAGATGAAAATGAGAGACAAAAGTAGAAACTGGATAGATTAATATGTAAAAATAAAAAGAGAAGTGACAAACCAAGAATGAGAGAATCAAATCAAAAGAGAAAAAAATAGTGTGACGTACATTTCTTTTTTTTTCCTATGAAAAATGTATTACGTTGCGCGCGCGCGCGGGAGAGACAGAGAGTGCTTCGAAGATGTCGTCGGAGATGATCTCGTTTCAATAGTGACCGTAATCACTTTGTTCACTTTTGGGTCGCAGGTGAGTGAGATTATCTTCAAGTCACCATCATTCTGAAAGATTTTTAAGCTTTGCGCGGGGGAAGCGAGGAGCTAGGGATGCCAGCCGCTAGAAAAAAAGAATACAACGTTATAGAACGAAAAGGAAAGGATCGAAATCAAAGTCGATAGATGATAAAATAGATAGAACGAAAAGACGGAACCGTTCCGAAAGAGGGTGCCGGGGGGTAAGAGAAAATACCGGATGTAGAAGAATGTGACGCCGGAAGTCGAAAGCGGATAACGATATTGTGTTAGAAGTAATCACGTGTACATAAACTCGAACGAAATTTTATAAAGCTAATCAATCGAATGAAATACGCAAGGAGGAGAAAAGAGTTGCTTTTTTTTCTCTCGAGCGTCCTCGATCTCGATGGATCGTTTTCCCGTAGAGATGGATACAAGCAGACTGACTGGACGTTACTGGACCGAAGGGGGTGGGAAGGGTTGGTTAAAGTGTGCACATGTATCACTGGTGAGCTGTTAATCAATTTCGTATATGCGTGATTGCTTAATACGCGTATATATGGGTTGTATTCGTTGGAGCGCACTTTCTACTGATCGTAGATTCCAAGTTGGGAGTATCATTTCAACAAGTTTTACTTCATCCCTGGATTATACAAGCCGAGAGATAGACTGCATTTAGCAGAAAAAGTAAAAGTTTGTAACCGTTGTAAGATTCTTTAATATGATTGGTTCTTGATTTTAGTTTCTTGCTGAATATGTAGTATAATTGTATTAAAGAATCTTACAACAGTTGCAAGCTTATAAAGCTACTTTTTCTGTTGAACGCAACTATAGATTTGCATTTTGTTCGAATATCCGGGGTGCGTTCAGGAATTCAGAGTGTCAGCATTTTATCCTCGTTTACTGAATAAACAAGGATAAAACATTACAACCTGAGTGCATCCGGGTTAAGTTTCTGAATGCAGCCCTGAATGTCGTTGGTTCTCGAGTTACGAGTCGATCGAGTGTGAAATGCTTTGATCGGTTGTCGACTCGAAGAGGGATTCTCGACAAATCTCTCGATGTTCGAACAATTGCCGTTCGATAATTGTCAGTTTTCCCTTCCTGGAATCTACAATAAGAATGGAAGTGCCGTGTCGCGCGTCACAACCCGTATATACGTGGATTTTCTATGTGCTCGCGAGTATGCAAGCGCGTGTGAAATGTTCATCGAATGAATGGGGAGGAGGGAGGATGCATGTGTAAGGTGGATGGATGTGCATGGCAAAAAATACGAAGTACGCGTGAAGAGGTAGGAGAAAGGTCCGAGAGAAAGAGAGAAAGACTGATGTTGCCAGGAAATTGTTCGATTTTGCAACCGGCGTGAGAGAGAATGCGTGAAAGTAAGAGTCTGTCTGAAAGGGGATAGACGATGAGCGGGGGTGGGGACGACATGGAGAGGGCGTGTCGCAGTCGTGAAGTATTCTTTAACGCGGGACAGAAGTTGACTGAGACGGCCGATTCAAACACGGTGACTCTTTTTTGCTGGCTCTACCCTTCCTCTTGCTTCCCCCCACAAATATAGAGAATACGTTGTGCCAATACAGTACACAGAAATAGTTACGAGATGCGTGGTAGAACTCCGTTTATCAGAACGTCCGCGGAGGAATTTGTGCAAAAGGAAGCGATCGTGCAACGGTATTTCTTACCTAATCGTAAGATACAGAGATGACTTGAGTGAAAAACACAATCTTCAAACAATGTAAAGAATCAAGAGACTGATGATCTATGCTGACGAGGATCCTTTAGTATTAAGGATCTATTTATACACAGATAATAATTGGGAAACCGATAACTCGAAATATCTGGAATACTATCCGTCTGTGATACCATTCTGGAAAACGAGCAAGAGTTTGTAAGATTTTAGCCTTCTGATAAACGAACTCCTACCGCGCATCCGATGCTTGCACGACATATATATTATATCACGCGGGCATGGAGGGCGATTTAAAGGATCGAAGTCTCTTCATTTCAGAATTGGAGGAGACGTCGAGCGGAGGTGGTGATAGCGGCGAGCCGCCGACTCACATCCGCATCAACTTCGAGCGATGCTTTCGTAAAGAGTTCAGCACGCTGCAGGGTAAAGCCGCGTCGACCGCCGCGGGCGATGATCAGCAGCAGCAACAACACTCGGACACTGAGATGGACACGAAGGCGATGTCGAAGGACAGCATAAGCAGTGCCATATTTAGCGTGATGGCTGGCGAGGCGGAAATCAGTCAGAGCGACTTCGAAGGCTCGTTCAAGACCGAGAACGAGCGCACGGAGGGTTCGGTGCGGGACTTCTGCGTGAAGGAGGGCGACGTTTATCGATGCACCGTGTGCCATCGCACGTATACACACATCAGCAACTTCTGCCGGCACTATGTCACCTCGCACAAGCCTAACGTCAAGTACTACCCCTGCCCGGTCTGCTACAAAGAATTCACCAGGAAGGACAACATGGTCGCTCACGTCAAGATCATACATAGTCTTAAACCGCACATGAGTCTCAGCAATAGTGGCAACAGTAACAGTAGCAGCAGTATGGGTCAGCCGCGGTAGACCATCGCTGGCTGGGCGTCCTCTCAGCATGCTTCCTCCCTCAGATCGCGTTTCTTGGATCTCGCGCATAATTCCGTGATACCGGAAATGCTGTAAATCCATGGTATCATACTGTGTCCATGATATGATATTACGAGATATTGTAAGAGTTCGTGACACCAAGATTTTTTTATGTTAATCAAGAAGCTTTAATACCGGTGATTAATGAATGAAGGTTCTAGAATTGATGGTATCATAGATTATGATACCAAGGAATTACGATAGGAAAAAGAATGGTTGAGTCTATGATGGATGAACGTCATAGGTAGATTCGCGGGCCTGATGCGCTTGCCAAAATGATAAAATCGAGGAACGCGAAGATGAGGGAGAAGAAGGGAGATAGAGGAGCTCGAGAAAAACGTGAAGAGGCCAGTATAACGCTTCGAATGAAGTCAGTGCGCTCCTATGAGCAGAAGGAAAGAAGGACGATAGATAGATAGATACGAGTAAGCGAGAAAACAAGTAGGTAGGTAAATGGTTGATCTTATAAAGTGGCTGTACTCTTCTGAAATGGCCAGAGAGGGTGGGTACACGGAAAACAAGTGGGTGTGCAAGATTCTAAGCTATGAACGTCATCGTCGGAGCACACGTTCCTTAGTTTTCGCGCGAGCGTTCTCTATGGCAGTTTTTCCGGTGTGCGAATTTAATCATTTGGACGTTAATCGTCTCTAATTTATAAGGTGAACATATCTTGCGAAGTGTATTTTCGCTATTCTAATATTACACGACGTGCATGTTGCATGAGACTAGCTCAATATCTTGATACCAAATCTATGCCTTGGAAGAAGAGTCGTATATTCACACACATATAAACACTTTGCAGTGCTTTTCTACTTCCAAGCCGCAGAATTTCTTTTTAGAAACACTTTAAAGAGACACGCAATATATCGCTCAAATGATTAATGAAGCTGATCTGTCGAGTCGTATCGACGCTGCGTAATCCGTGATCAGCGAGGCGCGGGTCTGACCAAGTCCAATACGCATTACAAGTCAAGCAAATTATTAAAATAACTTCTAAAAAAAACTTCTATGAAAAACTTCTAAAAAAAAAGGTTCCGGGTAGCTTTCACTACGTATAATTCGAGCGATGCTGCCCTGAATTTTGTCCCTGTTCCAGATCTTGGTCCTGATCCTGGCCCTAGTGTTAGTCCTAGTTATCTTTATCAATCTCCGTGCCTTCGAGGACCCACAATGCGCACGCTTCGGTATTTCGCGTTACGCAACGGTCGTTTTGCGAAGGATCGAGCTTCGATAACGCTGGAAACTTCCGGAACGATTTGCGCGCGTGTAACGAGTAACGGGCATTAAAGTTACAAAACGAACGAGCTTTACCGCGTTTGTCCCGAAGAGAAAGGGCGAAGCGGATGTAAAAACGGGAGATGGAAGAGGCTTTGTACTGCATCATAAACAAAGAGTTTATATAAATCTAACCGATGCGTCGTTTCAATGGTACAACGGGTAATCAGTTGTAAAAAAGAAACCGGTTGTCGCGTAGCAAAGTAGGAGAGAGGCATCATGTAAATCCAAATCAACGCAGGAGAAAGAAAGAATATATTTACTATTGCCTGACTATATTACGTTGCAGAAAGAATCAAACACGCCAGCTGACGCAGCTCGGCGGTACATTTTTACGAGGTGCGCGCGTGTGTTTTACGCATCCTTTGTTCATGTTCTCCAAACACGGGTCTTTATGCCTGGTAAAAACAAAGAAACAGTAGTTTTCAATATTTGATATAGATAGAATATCTCGAAGTCATATTCTGAAGAAGTCATTTGGAGCGATTATATAGCTATACATAATAGCAAGAAAAGAAGTTAAGCTCTTGCAAGTTGAGGATACACCAATTATATATAGTAATTTGTTACGTAATTGTTGAGCTATTGAAAGAAACTTAATTCAATTTGTAGGAGACTTATCAGATTCTTGTCTTTATGATAGAAGAAGGAGGCTAGAAGAAAGGATGAAAAAAAAAGGCGAATCCTGGTGAAACGTGCGCGCGCACATGCGTTATAAATAATAAGGGAACTACGTAGACTGAGTAAATGCAATATATATGTATCGATGACCGTTCGCCATGTTGTTGAGCCGTTTGGATCGCGAAAAGAATGCCGCGGCATTTTTTGGGGGAGCGACGTTAAAAGGGATAGAGGGACGGAACGGGGGAAGCGCAATCTCGCGAAAGACTGCAGAGGGACGGTTTTAACGACACCAAATACAAGATAGTACTGACATTGGATAGACTGAAGGCACCTTAGTAGTAACTTAACGCCGCCGCCATGCCGGACCGTCCTGTCCTGTTCGGCTGAGTCCATTTCCGGATGTCAGCGTGAACATCCGGAGCGCTAAGTGGAGAACCTGGTGAACCAAGTGATAACGTAAGAACAGTTTTATGTGTCACTTGTATCAGAACTACACTAAAGCTGTTTTAAAAAGTTTTACGTGTGTTGAAAGAATTACCATGTGACGTAGACGGCGCAGTTAATAATTCTGTTATGATTGAAAAGGAATCATATTTTTGAGTTAAGATAACTTATGAATAGCAGTACATATTTATCGTTTTGCAAATGAAACGTTATAATATATTTCACTTATTATTGGATCATCATCAAAGTTATTATTCAATTATTTATTGAAAGATTTCGTTTTTTTAATAACTTTTATGAATCTTATTCGAAGTGTAATAGCTTTAAATTAATCATATTTACTTAATTCTTTATTAATTTCATTTTTTTATTATTTTCCATCCGAAGTTTACCAAGTTTTCAAATTTAACTCTCCGAGTCTTGAATAGTCAGTCATCAAGTTTATGTAATTTTACACGTACTACGTAGTTAAAAATTATGTATACATATATATGAAACTTTTTATCTCTTATTTTACTCTTTGCAATTTTATCTTAACAATCAGATGAGAACGTCATCAACCGAGACAGGTCGCACGATGGTACGGTAATGGCGGTCAGAGGCTTAGTCGCGAGGAAAAAAAGCACTAAAAGTACGAGATCGTAGCTTACTATATTTTGCACCTTACACTCCGTCGAGCGCCCTCCCTCCGTGAGAGGGGCGAGACGATTTATATACAAATTTTTCACTAGTTGGGCATAGACGTTAGACGACTAGAGGCTACATAATAACTATTATTATTATTATTATTATTATTATCACTATTATTAATCAGTTATTACAAGTAACGGAGATCTTCATTGTTACTTTAATGCGCGAGGGGATTGAATATACCCCGATTGACCAGTGTTGTTCGTTCGTTATTCAAGAGGTATCTAGCGTTGCAAAGATAACAAAAAAGTTATAGTCGTAAGGATCGGATCGTCATCATGAATAATAGTAGGCTCCGTAATATGAACTGGAATAAGTGCTCTCGCTCGTTTCATCAAAGAAACGCAAGTGTTTCAAGTTAACGTTTTCCAAATTTTTTACAAGCTCTAGGTAGAGCAGTAATCGACCAATGTTACAGAAGTTGAAGTATCGCATTTGAATAGAAACATTTTCGCGATATTAAAACACTACCTCAAAGAAGAGATTACATTTTGGAAGTTAGAGTATGATCTTGAAGTGTTTAGAGCAAAGTTAAAGTCGAGAACACTTGGTCCACATTTATTTGCGGGATTCATTAAGTTTGTGGTGCGATCCGAGTGTACTTTTAAGCGAATAGAGAGTTCTATAATACCAGTTTAGGCAAAGGCAGCAAAGATAGCGCAGTAGACATAGGAGAACGAAAAGGACCTGTGAAAGGGACAGGGACGGGGGGGGGGGGGGGGTATTGAGTAGATGGAAGAACGACGTGAAGGTCGTTTCGTAAACATTAAAATGGTTGGTGGGCCGTGCCGTATATTTTCGCGCACTCAGGTCAATTATCCGAATGTATTTGAAACTTCGATGGACCAAAGAGCTTCTTACCGATCCTTGTAGATTATTTATTCCAAGCGAGAAAGGACGGGAACGTCCCGGAGAAATCTTTCGCGAATTCCAGAAGCCCAGGATACGCGATGCCAAATGCATCTTTTTCGCAATATCATGCATTGTTAAATTCTATACAAATTCATGGTTTAAAAAGTATTTCAAATGGCCAAGATAATAATTAATTAACTAATTAATCGTACCAAAGTAAATTAATTATTGTTCATGAATTAGGCAATAAGAGAGAAGTCTATATACTTCGATATATTATAATATTCTAAAATATCGTTAGATATTAAAAATAGAATATTTATGTAAATGATAACTTATATAAAATTTATGTAAAATAATGTATGAATGATAATTTGTCATTATTACATATTTAAGAATTTGAGAGTTTGACAAGATCTTGCTACAATTTAGTCATAACGCTATATATTTTTTAAAATGGAGTAAAAATGCTCGTATATTTTCTTAAAAAAATTAATACGATGTCATGGCTTATTTCGAGTTATAATTAAATTAACTTAAAATTAATATAATTGAACAGACGTTTCGGCTTACAAAATCTTCAATGTCGTAACGCAAAAATATAATCTCACATTAACGAATAACAGATACGTTATTCTATATTTTTCTTTGAGATTACACGTTAATCGCGGAAATTTGGCATCCAGTATTCCTTGGGACTGCAGAATTTCGCACCGTCAGGTCAATTATTATCCGCAATATTCGAAACCTTGTCGGACCAAAGAGTGTTTATAAACGGTAGAATCCCCGAAAACCCTTAAGGAAAATGACACCAAGGGTAAAGGGGGACGGTTACGGCCTGGTTCCACGATGGGTTGTCACAAGCCCGTCCAGCGTGTGGAATGCGAAGGATTCAGGGGAATTGGATAGATTTTCACGAAAAATGGGAAAACAAAAAGTGCAAAGAGGCAGCGGCTAGACAGCTTATATCGATTTTATAGGAGGACAGGCAAGCAAATAATAATTAAATACACTCACATTTGATAATCACTGAGAGGCTAAGACTAACTCAATTAATTAAAGGGTGAGAAAGACGCGAAGACGGAAAGGATCACCGGAGAGAGAAAATGTCTGCAGGTCGTGATCGACAATTTTTCGAAAAGTTTTTTTTCTGGGACGTTGCAATTTTCTCAAATTCGAAGTTGATTTTAACAGATCCGATTTATCGTTGTTATTATTGTTTGTTGTTTTCTATTATCTTTTTGAAACGAGATCTGCAGACCTCTCTTCAGTGTACGGTTTGTGAGGATTGCGATTTTATCAATTTGTACAATAATAGCTTTGATTCACCCTAGTCGATGTCTGCGTGAGAAATGCGAAAAAGGGTGTGAGAATTGAAGATCGCCGTATTGGCGTGATATTATCATTCTCATATTTTGTAATTTTCTCTTTCGCGCATTTTAGAAAATCTATGTATACCAAAGGATTATAAATTTACACATATATACGTGGTAGCTTATTATAGCAACTATATAAAATTATCATCGCTGAAGTTTCGCTTGACGCTCCTTCGATACGTAAGATGTCCTAAAAGTTTAGGAAGACTTTAGAAACATTCTGTATATGTTTTTACAAAATTATCGTACAAGTTACAATCGACTTATATTAATTTTAGAGTAAGTACTGATACATCTCTGTAGATTTTTGAAACTTTTAAGAATCATTACAATTGTTTTTTTTTACTTTTTATCTTTTTTTTTTATCGTGACAAAATTTCGCAATACGTAGGTGGGCGAACATTCGTTGCAAATGTTATCACATCCTTTTGTGGCAATCACAGCAGTTACAGAGAGCATTTCGCGTCACGCGATGATAGTACGTGATGATAGTCGCAGAACGGCCGATTCTCGAAATCGCTTCGAATTCCTCGCCGGCATCCGAAGGCTCGTGATCAGGACAAATCGCTGTTAGAAACGATGCACGATGCAGCGACTGATCTTAAGATTCATTGTGCAAATTTAAAGACGTTTAAAAGAGAGGAGAAATTCGCTCACGTTCGTTGCCTTCTTGATGTTGTTGAACTTTTAGAGTTAAGGTCGTTAAAAAGCGCTTTCAATCGTTGCCAATTGTAGGGGACAATCGAGAAGAAGATGGGAAAAGAGGAGAGACTTTTTGCGAGAGACCAAGGGTACAAAAAGAAAGAGAGATATGCGATGTCAGGTCCCCATATATTCGTACAAAATTAGTGTTCAAATTGTAAAAAGTGTTCATAAGTCAAGGGTGAGGTGTCGCGTTGCGAGGAATTGTTATTCGCGTGAGGATAGCCGCTGTTTCTGCGACGTGTGCTACATCGCTCGTTTTATTGTCAAAATTCCGTCTTTTCTTCGGAATTACGTACAAATTATACGGGAATCGTACTACTTATAATAGATAAGTTACGAAGACAATTCTGTGTATAACGTTCGGAAATTAGATTCTGATCTGCGGATTAGATTTTGTTGATATTTGTTAAATTTATATATATATATATACTATGAAATTTTATAGTGTTGTCGTTGCGTG